AAAAGGGGGAATCAGAGAGTCAAAACAGAATTTAATTACCGACAATTGTACACTACTGTAATGTTCCGCCGCAGTTATAGATGTTTTAGACAAATTTCTGTCAAAGCGAATCACTTTTTCAGTATGGTAATTTCCAAAAGGTTAACGCAACTCTAATGTAATGACATGACAGTTATCCATGCCAAGTCTGCAATGTGAGATACAAATTGCCATAACAGACGATGGGTGTAATAAATTAGTATAAAATATTATTTCTGCAACTGCAACACGATGAAACAGCTGAGGGTTATCGTATCGTTTGCTGTTTGCAAAACATTACATAGCTATTGCTTTTTTTTAAAACCTAAACTGTCCGCCTTGTAGACATCTGTCAAATAATGGCTAAACCATGATACTTAAAAGCAAAAAAAGTTTAAACTGGGTCTTGAATGCGGTAGGCTAATCTAAACCTTATAGTGGGCATTAGGAGGTTATTTCTGGTGAATTTGCAGTATAAATAGAACACATTTAAAAAAGAGCAAAAAACTTGAGAAGCTCAACTAACTCTAAATAATATAAGACTTCACTTCAATTTCATTAAGAAAGTCCTTTTAAAGTACTTCACTTGATAGAACAACCAAAATTTATTTTCTTAGAAATTTCAACTGGATTAATCAGCTTTCATAATAATATTACTGTAGGAAAATCAAAGGAGAAGAAGAGCTGAATTACAACCCATCTGTTTATTTAAACCATTTCCGCAGTTCCTTATGCACTGAGACCAATTGACAGTTATACATGACGAATACAAAACCATATCCCAATATTTCATTTAAATACACATATAAATCAAATCGATGTAGATATATACCGAAGAAACGAGTTTAATGAATAAACAAAAACAATCAGACAAACAAAAAAGTTTCAACAAACTGAGAATTTGTTCAGACAAAAAAAAAAAGAGGCTTTTCGAATGATTATCTACAGATAAAATGATGTAAAAAACAAATAAAATATGACCAACTAATCAATCACTTTCTAAGAACAGCTCTTACAGCAGTACAAAGAAAACTCTGTTCAGATTTGATGTTATATACAGGACGAGAGCTGCAAGGGGGGTAGGAAAAAAACAAATTTCTAACGGAAGTTTAACATTCACAAAAAAATAAATTTTTGCTCGAATGACTGATTACCGATTTTGCACGAAAAAATTTTAAACTTCCAAAATTTGAATTTGCTAACTTTAAACTGAAAAAAAAAATTCCCAATTTTCTTTTGCATTTATATTCCACTACTTCCTTAACTGTGCCGATTTACCAACAAACATACCAAAAACATAAGTGGTTTACTAAAGTTTATTATTAGATTTTAACTTTTATCGCAGTTTTTCTTTTTCCTTTCCCAAACATAAACATTCCATCGTTACATAAGCTCTTGAACTTTTCATTTGTTTTTTTCTTTTTCTTCCCAAAAAAGATCAGAATGATCTGTAAAAGAAAAAAAAGAAAAGTACATTAAAAAAGTTGTGTAATTCATTTTTGCTGAACAAAATTTACATGCTTAATAAAAACCCCGTTTAAGAGTTATCCATTTAACTCAGAAATAAGTAACCGTTATAATTTTCTTCAACAATCAGCAAGTTCTTCTTCTTTTTTCTTCTGTCCAGATTTTAAATCATGATTCAATCATCGTTTTTTTTTTCTTTCCTGTAAGAAAACTTCAGCAAATTCTTGAACAAGATAGCACAGACCTAACAAACAGAAGGCAGAATAATCAAAAAAAAAATCTTTACTAAAATTATTCCTGTCCATTTAGCAGACGATAATTTCAACTGATTAATCAATACAGCAGTGATTCTTCAAACATCTATCAAAAAACAAATTTTTTCTTTCAGATGACAGAAAAAAACGATAATACATATGGATTATATCTACTGCAACACTTCTTAAAGGTATTTAAATAACACAATGAAAGTCTGAAAAACCCAGAATACGTAGATCACCCACCCAGTAATTTTGGAATATCCATTGCTGTTTCAATCTTTCAGTTAACAAGAATTGACTTTTCCTTTTCATGCTTACTTTAAACCAAAAGAGACATCTTTCATAATGCAATTTTTCATGCCTATATCATCAGACATTGTAGCATTTGCAATAAATTAAAGATAAAAAAAAAGGCGTAGAGAATCAGCAATGAAGAGTTCCTTACAGTAGATAATCAACAGCGATCCGTATGCTTCAATGAACTACTAAAAAGTAGAAAACCAAACAAAATCATCATCGAAATCAACCTCATTACTTTGTAGCATTTCCATTACGAACAAACTGTTTCAAGTTTCTCCTCAAAAGAAAAAAAAAAACACCCCTTAAAACCTGTTGTTAATATCTGTAAACTATCACCAAAAAAGTGTAAAACAAAGGTTAAAAAAAAAAAATGAAGGAGCATTTTGGAAAACGACCATTCATGTAAAGGCAGTAAAGCTCGTCCTGCGTGAAATTATAGAAATTCCAAAAACAAGCTTACAGTTGACAATAATAACAACAACAACAACAACAACTTAACCTAATATCAGTTGAGAAATAGTTGATAAATTACGACTCCCGTCAATTGGAATCACCTCCTTATTGCAAACAGGCTTTGCAATTAATAACTGATCGAGAACTTCCACAATTCAACAAAAAGACCATCACATTGTACAACAGCGGCACATAAATTAAACCATGCTGGAAATTTGCCACAAATATTTTTCAAATTCAATTTTACGTTGCGTTTAGTTCCCGCTAAAGCAACTGAAAACCCTCTCCCGCTGGGTCAACGACAACCGCATAATTGCGCTGATACAGCTGACGATACAAAGGGCGAGTGTGCAGAAAATGCATGGAAGATTCCAAGGCAAACAGCCGGAGGTCCAATTTTCTCAATTACACATCCAGTAGTTATTCAGAACGTTAAGATAAGAAAGATCTCCTGTAGTCTGCCGCTAAGGTCATAATTCATGTTAGAATATAAATCAAAAAGAAAATCAAGAGCAACCGTGTAATAAAATAAACCAAGAAGTCAAGAACAACTAGTCAAAGACGATAAAAATTTAAAGGACAGGAGTAAATGAGAGGACGAAATTAAACTGGTTATTGAGCGCTTGACAGTTACAAAAAAAATTATTCAAATCCAACGTGAGATTTTGAAAACTATGAGAATACTGAACGGATTGCCGATGTCAGCCTACTTATCCTTTCCTATCTTCCGATCAAGGATCGCACCGAGCAACAAGATCAGGTTACCATGCTTCCGAATTCAAGATACCATCTCGCATATGTTCGTCACACCTTTAAGCTCGGCAGAAAATGAAACGGTCACAAGCACTGGATTGGAATAACTATAACAGTTAACTGGGTCAGTTAGAAGAGGTAAATTTTTGACTAAATTAATAAAATGTAAATGACAAGGGCGAAGTAAAATAAAATCCAAATCTGTTCATGAAGAAATGAAATTTTTTTAGTCACTAAATTTTTTCTTGATTAGTTCGCTTGGAAATATCTTTGCTTAGGGTTTTTTCAAAACATTTTTTTATTTTTTTCTTTTTTTTGTTCATTATACCTATACCTCAATTGGGTTTCTTCAGATGAAAATGAGAACGCATTGCAAAGAGAGAAGGAGAGTAGATTTTTTATCATATAAACAAAAACAGAAATAAATATAAAATGTTCTTAACAATAAAATTTAAAATTCAATTATAAATATCAAGCGAGAATGGAAAACAACTCAGTGCTATCCAAATGTCTTCGAATGCATTAATTTTACATCCCTTTACTGATGATTTATAGAGACTGCTTCAAGTTCTAAAAGTAACGAATTCGCGGTCATTTGAATTTTACAGAAGGAAAACGTCAATTGTGAACTGTAAGACTTAGAGAAACAATCGTGCTAAATAAAAGTAAGACACAAAAACTTATTTTCAAGCATAAAACAGCTGATGCAACATACATTACAGGGCCTTTAGCGCTTCGAATTAAAAAATCAAGGCTGAGAATCAATAATTTTTCTTTATAATTAAGCCAAAGTCAAATAAATTTTGGAAGTTTATAAATAAATTAATACTTAATTTTTAAATTTTTTCAACGTGTCTTTCTGCCAAAAGAAGAATAGATAACTGCTCTGTAATGCATAGCCGACACTACAAAAATTTTTTGATAAAACAATCAAAAACTTGTTACGTTTGCCTTAATACATTATTCCGGTGTAGATCATTATACGCGTGGAATACAAAAGTTTTGTATACCTTTCCGGAGTCCGCTGGCTTAACGTAGAAGTACCTCTTTACACCGCAACCGCACTGCCCCAAAGTTGCTGGAGCTGTTCAGAAAAAAAAAGGCATTTTCCCGCTCGTATCCTTGACAATACAATTAGAAATAAGCGCGACTATACTTGCCTTAGTGTA